GCTCTTCAGACTGTTCCCTCCTGATATTACTTAATTTCTTCCCCTGGTTTATGTTTGCTTGTTTTAGGTTTTTTTAAATTGATGTTTTTAATTCTATTGTTTTTTTTGACTGTAAAGGGCCTAGATTTATCTAGATGGGCGGTAAAAAAGGTAAAGGTTCCCCTTGACAATTTTTGTCCAGTCGTGTTCGACTCTAGGGGGCGGTGCTCATCCCCGTTTCCAAGCCATAGAGCCAGCGTTTTTGTTGGCGGGAGCTGGGACAAGCGACGGGTGCTCACTCCATCGCTTGGATTCGATCTTACAACTGCTGGTCTTCTGACCCTGCAGCACAGGCTTCTGCGGTTTAGCCCACAGCACCACCACGTCCCTTCGACGTGGGTGGTATAAAAGTCAAATAAATAAATAAATAAATAAATCCCACCTCTTCAGTAACCTCAAGGCAGCACTCATGGCTCTTGTCCTTCCCACTTCATCCTCATGGTAACCCTGTAAGCTAGATCAGTCTAAGAAGGGGTAAATGGTCTTTGGTCACTTAGGGAGTTGCATGGCACAGTGAGGACCACAGCCTTGAGTTCTCAAATCCCACTCCTGCACTACACATCACTGACTCTCACAAACAAAACCCTCTTCCAAACCTAAGCATGGCAGAGGATGTGGGGCAGTGGGGTGACCACAAGTAAGATTTAACTAGTAAGCCGATCTAACATTTGGTACACCATCTACTGCCAGAACAATATTTTCCCAGCACCCAGGAAAGAGAGATTTTCATTTTTCTCTGGACAAAACATGCACTCTCCTATTCAGCGCTGCCTCCTTTTAAAGGGGCAAACTGGGTTTTTCCCTTGCAGCAAAGCTAACCCCTAAGCTAAAGATTCCCCTCTGTATGGTTGCCTGAAAAGTAACAATATAGCTAAGGACCAACGGTACAGTGATACACATAAAAGGAAGTCACTGCCAGAACCTTACAGCAGTTGCTAAATGCTGGTCCAAAAATATTGTTCCAAGTCAACTTACTCTTGTGGTACCTTAAATATTAAAAAGCCTCATCTGGCCTAAGCTTACATTATCTCTATGCTGTTCTTTCAGATGCACAGTCTTGCCCTTAGACAAACCTTTAATTTTTAAATATCATTTTAATTTTATTTATTACAAACCAAAAGAAAGGGGGAAAAGCAAAGGAGAACTATTAGTTAGGCATACACATTAATGTAAGTTGACATTTCCAAAACAAATTCCATTTGGAGTTGGTGTCAATAAAACAGACAGACATTCCTATATACCGTGTTTCCCTGAAAATAAGACAAGATCTTATATTAATTTTTTCTCAAAAAACACACATTATGGCTTATTTTCAGGGGATGTTTTATTTCCTTCATGTACAACAATCTATATTTATTCAAATACAGTCATGTCATCATCTTGTTGCTGCACAATGATGGAGGGTGGGGTTTCAATTGGCTTATTTTGGGGTAGGGCTGATATGAGCATCCGGAAAAAAACATACTAGGGCTCATTTTCAGGGAAACAAGGCAGCTAAAGAAAGATCCTGGATCACTGAATGATGGATGGTGTATGTTTATCTTTCCAACCTTGCAATATAAGTATTCTGGCAATGGTAGGAGCTTGTAAGATCCAACTGCACTGACCATCCATTAACCTACTAGTATACAAACAATGTACAATGTTGGGGAAGTCCTTCTTCTAAAGCTATACTCTATGTAACTGAACATGTGATCCAGAGCATGAAAGCTTGTATCAAATAAAACTTGTGCGACATCAAGGTGCCATGAGACTGTTGTTTTGCTGCAAGAGACTCCTGGCCATTTCTACAGAGGCCCCGGAGTCTACTAATAACTAGCCATGCTGTCTGAGGCATATTAGACTTCATCCAATTACATATGGGCATGCAAATTTGGGAGCTACTGCCCTACAGAAAATAATCCACTAAATTTGCCCACTAATGCCCTATGTGAAATCCACCACTATATGTAACCCTGTTTCTTCAGAAGCCATGGCTGTCTGGCAGTTCTGGGCTTTAACAGAGGCAGAAAATACTGGCCAGTGCTTTTTTTCAGGACAGGTATCTTCAGCAGCAGTGCTATCCCATATAGGTTTCCAAACTGGAGTACAGGTTAGAGTGTGATTAGATGGGCATTTAGCCTGCTGTTTGGTTTTCTGTGATTCACTCCTTTTCCCAGCAACCACCAGCTGTAACTGCTGAAGCGATCCAAAACGTCCCCAGAGCATCCCTAGCTGCACCCCTAAGAGCTCTGTCAAGGGCTCCCACTTTTTTTGGGTACAGGTAGGATCGCTTTAATTTGGTCTTTTTCCAGCACATGTGATTACTGAGAATGAACTAAACTTGAAAGTTAACTGTCAGGGCTCCTTCCATTTTGAATTTCCAATATTGTGGAGTGGCTTAATAAGTGAGACACTTCAGGATAAGGGCAAATTGAATACTTTATCTGTTCCTCAGTGGAGGGGCAAGGGAAGTGATTGCTTTCTTTATGCTATAATTGATGCACTGCAACAGTTATATACAGTGGTGCCTCACATTATGACGTTAATTCATTCCAACGAAATCACTGTAGAACGAAAACGTCATAATGCGAAATTTAAAAGCCCATAGAAATGCATGTGTTCCTAGGGGCTTGAAACTCACCGTCCAGCGAAAATCCTCCATAGCGCAGCCACTTTCACTGTCCGTGCAGCGAGGAATCCGTCCCAGAAAAGAGCGGGGAGCCATGTTTTTTATCCAGCGGCCATTTTGAAACCGCCGATCAGCTGGCCGAAAATCATCGCTTTGCGAGAATCGGTTCCCGAAGCAGGGAATTGATCATCGCAAAGCGAAATTCCCCCATTGGAAACATTGTTTTGTGATCGCTTTTGCGATGGCAAAACCTTCAACGTAAAGCGATTTCGTCGTAAAACGGAGCACTCGTAATGCCACTGTAAACATTTTACACTGTAAACATTTTACAAATATTTTCTTTGCTTTGTCTTAAAGGGCCAGCTTTGGCTGTGGGAAGTTTTTCAACAAGCCCTTAAAATAACGCAGCTTTATAAAAATTATAAAAGTGGTGCAGCACTTCAGTGATGGTCTACCTCAGGTTTTAAAAGATTTATTCCCCCCTGCCACTCTACCAAGCAGAGGAAGTGTTCATTCTGAAGTGGATCACTTGTTAAACCACTTCACGATATCAGAAATCTAAAATGGAAAGAGACAGACCACACAGGGTCATTTGAGCTCTGATATGTTCTCGGGATGCAGGCATTGGACACCTCCATCTAGCCCTAAGCAATTTTATTTAACCTACAGCAGCCCACTTCAAAATGACCAGTGTAGATGAGCCCTTAGGATAGTGTGAGCAAAAAGTAGAATGGGGCCTACTGGTCAATCTGCATGATCTCTAGCTCCCACCTTTCTAAAAAACAGCAGCAACAAAACTACTCTTCCCTGGCCCTAACTATACAGCTGAAAAGAAAAACTTGAGGAAAGGATGCAACCAGAAACAGATTGTATAGACGAAACTGTTCAGGTTTGATACTCAACTGAAATTCCTGTAGCCAACATTCTTCAATCTTCTTTTGTGCACCTGGGTCTCGTTGATGGAGCTGGTCCCTCCCCCAAATAGCACTGATCCCATCTCTCCCCCAACACAGAACAGAGGCTTTCAAGTCAATGTACAGTACATAGTATTTTACTGTAACTTGACGGTTTCCAGTCACCTAAATCTACCAGGGCAATACCCAGCCCTTGCCATTTGGGCAACGACGTTCCAGAGAACAATTCTATTACCAAAAGATCTGAGTTATCCAATGTGATCAACTTACTGTTGGAACTTCTGCATGACTACCACAAACGCCGTTTTCCAAATTGGTAGCCAAGATCACCCACGCAGAGAGAAAAGCACCCCGCAAAGACGACAGTCCGAATACTACACGCCCGTGTTGTGTTGCGAACGTCTGGCAGCCAACTCCCCTCTCGACTTTTTCGCTTGCTTAGCCTGACCAAAGGTCTGAAGAACTAAGAAGCCGGCATATTGTTTTGGGGCCTTTAAGATGGCTTCATAAAACGTACTGTGAATTTTGAGACCCCGCTTCTTTGTGTCCCGAGAAACGGGCAGGCCAAAGCCGGGGCAGGCCTTTGGCGCGGCCGTCTGGGGACACGTTCTCGGAGCACCGAGGGATTACAAAGGTCGTTCGTTGCCCAGGCCCCAAGAAACGACGGGGAAACCCCTCAAAAGCCGAGCCGCAACGGTAAGCAACTCTCCGCCGGGATGAAAACGCACGTGCCGCTGCGCCTTCACTTTGAAGGCCGTCCCCGCCCGGCTCCAGGCCGCTTCCTTAAAGCTCACGGCGGGCTGGGCTGCAAGCCAGGGCAGCGGGCAGGGGACGACGGGTTCGCCCGCCACCTCCCCATCGGCGCCCGGCGGCCCTGCCGTTCCCTCCCTCCCTGCCTCCCTCTCTCCTCTGGGCCGGGCAACAACAACAGCATGCAGTCAGGCCGAGCGGCCGTGTTTACTTTGGCCTCCCCTCGCGAGGGGCCGGCTCCCAGCCCTTGGCGCCCAAGCGCCCTCCACGCCTTCGCCGGCGGAAGGGGAGGTGGCGGCGGCGGCAGGGCGGGGGGAAGAGGCGCTGCTCCTTTCCCTCCCTGAAAAGCCATTGCTTGGCTTCCACAATGAACCGCAGGACCCCAGCCATCTTTTGCTCTTCCGTTTACTCTCGCGGGATAACTCTCCTCCTCCGCCTCCTTCTCCTCCGCCCTGCTAGCAAACGCTGCCCACTCGCCCGTCCTCTTTTATGGCCCCGGCCACTTCCTCCTTTTCCCAGCCCTCCCGCCTTTTTCTCTCCTAATCCGGGCAGCCCTTCCCCGGAGAAGGCCTTTCTCTCCCCCCCC